CAGCCTCTGGGAATTCCATATAGTGACCCAAATCTGTAGATACGATTGGATTGGGATCTTCTTCCTTCTTGTTCCCTTCTGCTCCTTTTGTGTCAGGAGAGAATGTGACTTTCTTTTTTACTTCGGTTCTACGTAATTGATCGATATGTCTCTTGAAAACGTACTCACTGTCGAGTTTGATGAGATAGTGGAGTTGACCAAACTTCCTAATAACTGTTCCAAATTTCCATACAGGTTTTTGGTTTGTAAAATAACGTGCCTGTACTCTTCCTCCCAACGGTATACTGCGGGTGCCTGGAATTCTTTTGTAGTTGACAATATTCTTCATTGGCTTGAGGATATCCAATTTAATGCGGAAGTTGCGCTGGAGATAAAGTTCCGCCGGAGATTTTCCACACGCAAGTGGTGTAGCTCTATATTTGAATAAAATTTCTCGAACCTTTTGGGTTAGTGTAAGAGGTTCCTCTTGCATCGACTTCAAACGTTGTTTCAGTGTTTGCACATTTGCCGCAAGACCATTCGTAGCAGGATGACCTGGAGCTATCAATTTTTGGAAAATGCCGCTTCTATGGCAGAAGTGTTTAAATGTTTTACTAACAAAAATTGTTGCGTTGTCGGATACCATCACTTTAGGAAAACCATGAGTCGAAAAAATATCTTTTAATAGATCTATAGTCTTTTCTGATGTCGGTGCTTCTTTGATGATTCGTATTTCAGCCCATCTTGAACGAGCATCTATTACAATTAGAAAATAGTGGTTTTCAAATGGTCCTGCATAGTCTATGTGAATCCGGTCCCAATTAGACGTTGGTTCTTCCCAATGGTGTGTTGGAGCCTTTGCTGGGTTAGTTTTTACTTCTGCGCACTTTTGACAGGATCTTACTGTGTTTTCGATGTCTCGGTCTATTCCCTTCCAGATACAGTAGCGACGTGCCAGTTGTTTCATTTTTGTAATGTCAAAGTGTGTTTTGTGTAATTCTTCGAGAATTTTTGATTGTAGTCCTTTTGGAATGACTGCGCGTTGACCCTTGAATATTATTCCGGCTTCAAGTGTGTATTCGATGTTGTCAGCTTCACCATTACGTAAGGCCTGTTTGATTTTCGAAAGGACTTCATCCTTATCAGTTTCTTGAATAATTTTTTCAGTAGTAAGTTCTTCAGTTGAAATTTCGAAGATGGTCGAATAACAAAGTTGATGAACTTCTTCATTGATGGCAATATCAGTCGAATAATACCTTTGATGTATTGGAGCTCTGGATAAACAGTCTGTATTAATGTTTTCATTTCCTTTCTTATGTTCAACTTCATAAACAAATCCTGATAAAAACGATGCATATCGAAGTAAACGGGCTGAAGTCATCGCTGGCAATTTATTATTTTGGTGGAATATTCTAGTGAGAGGTCGATTATCCGTTATCAGTTTAAATTTGCGTCCGAATACGTACATAAAGAAGTGATTGATTGCAAATACAATTACAAGAGCCTCACGGTCAAGTTGACTGTAATTCCTTTCTGCTGGCGTTAACGATCTGGATGCAAAAGCAATGGGTTTTTCGATACCGTTAAGGACGTGCGATAGGATTCCTGCAATGCCTGTAGGGCTGGCATCACATGTAACAACTAATGTAGATTTTGGATTATAAGGCGTTAAAATTCGATCACTTGAAATTTCATTTTTGAGTTTCAAAAATGCACCTTCACAAGCCTTGGTCCATTTGAATGTTGAGTCTTTAACGAGTAATTTCCTCAATGGGTAAGTAATTGTTGACGCATCCGGAATGAATCTTGAGTAGTATGTTACCATACCTAGAAAACGGCGTACATCGTCAGCAGTGGATGGTCTAGTCATGTTGACAATGGCTTCAACTTTCTTGGGAGATTTCGAGATTTTGTTGAATCCAATAGTATGTCCAAGATATTCGATTTCTTCTTGGAAGAATGAACATTTACGTCGGTTAAGATGTAAGTCATATTTCTTTAGACGCTGTAAACAAGCATATAGATTTTCCTGACACTCTTCCTTAGTAGATCCATGAACGATTATATCATCGAAATACGATAGCGTTTTATTGAGGCCAGACAAAATTTGATCTATGATGCGATTGAATTCCGATGGAGCTGTTTTAATACCGAATGAGAGCCTGTTCATTCGGTACGTACCTCGGTGTGTTGAGATAGTTTGTATTTCACTGCTTTCTTTATCGACCTTCAAATGTAAGTATGCTTTAAATAAATCAAGACGGCAAAAGAATCGTGAATCCCGTAAACTATTTAATATTTCATCGATTCGTTGAATTGGGTAGTTAGCTGAAATTAGCCTCTGATTGACTCCCATTTTGTAATCCACGCATAAGCGGACACCCCCATCGGTTTTAGGAATAACAACTAATGGCGATCCCCAGTCACTTAAGGTCACTTTAGAGATAATGCCTGCCGCTTCAAGGTCGTCAAGTTCCTTTTCAACTTTTTCTCGCAGTGCGTAAGGTATTTCTCTTCCCTTATGGAAGATGGGTTTTGCGCCTTCTCGTAATTGAAGTGAAATTAAAAATTCTGGCACGCATCCTATTTTTTCTTCAAAAATATCTGGAAAGTGGTTAATAATGTTTTCAATATTATTGATTGCTGGAATTTGAGGATCAATAGTGTTGGCTCCCAATTCTTTATCAATTTCCTGGAGATTTATGTTTAGATTACGAATCCAACTTCTTCCTAAGAGTGGCGACATATTATCTGGAACAATGTACATCTTTTCAAAAGATACTTTATCTTTATAACGAACTTCAACTTTAATTTCTCCATCTGGAAGAAATACATTATTTGTATATGATCGAAATGCAATAGTTGATGTACGTGGTTTGTTGCTTAGATTCAATTTTTTAAATTCCTTCCGTGGAAGCAATGTAACTCCTGCACCAGAATCGACTTCGAATGTTTGAGGTTGTCCTTCAATAACAACTGTAGTAAAATACTTCTTGGACTTATCGCGTTCTGAGCCTTGATTTTCGTATATATCAATAATATGATTGACTCCATAAGCTGATATTTCCTCCCGTATACAATTAGTTGATTTTGTGTTAGATGTATTAGCTTCATTATTGTTCAGAAGTGATCGTATACAAACCTTAGAAAGATGACCCGTTTTATCACATGCGGTACATTTAAGAGTTGATTTGTTTGTCCGGCAATCCTTTGCAATATGATTACTGTTACCGCAACGTAAGCATAGACCTTCGATTCCCAATTGTCTGTAATCAATTTTTGATTTAGATCTGGTCTTATTATTTTTGTATCTACCAGGGCTTTTTGCGCTGAATTTATGGTTTGATGTCGAATTATCACGTCTGGACTTCCGCTGCCTTGTTACTTTTTTAACATCTTCAGTGTGATTAGCTGTATTCAGAGACGGTTGATTCTTTGAAAGTTCGCGACTGTCAATTTTGGAAGCTTCTAGTACGAGGGCCTTTCCTGTGATTTCTGTGAATGTTAATGCATCAGATTGAAGTAGTTGTTCGCGAATAGTGTTGTCCTTTATACCTCTAATGAATTGAGCACGTAAAAATATGTCTGAAATTGAAGTTTTACATTTACATGGTGAGACAAAATCACAATCACCTATGTCTTGACGTAAGAGTGCTATATATTCAGCAATTGATTGATCTTCATTATGGTACGTCGAAAGAAAACGATGTTGTGCTACTAATATATTTTTCTTTGGGCTGTAACCGTACTCGCGAGCAACGGCACAACTTCGTCGCGTGTTCTCGGTACTCAAAGTACGCAAAAGTATCTTCTCTCCCTCGGTAGCAGAATTTT